AATTTTCGTCACTCTTATCCCAATTATCACAAACGTGGATCGAGATTATCCACATATAGTAATAACACAAATAATAACAATAATAATAATGATAACTCAATAGTTCAAGCGACGACGAAAACCAAAACGACTGCCACCAATACCAATAACAATATAATAACAAATCCGTTAATAAATGACCTTGTTTTGGATTCTTCATCCAAAGGTAAATCAACCACAAAAAAAAGTAAGCCACCTATGGTTTCCCACTATGCACCACATCGTCACGTGTACGCTACTAAAGCTATAGAAGAATTCGATGCGGTAAATCAAGAATATTTGGAATGGTGTGCACAAATAACAAATACTGGTAACAATCATAACGGAAACAACTTAAATATCAGCGGTAATGGCGCTTTGATAAATGAGAATTTTAATAATTTTGCTGGCGTTGGCAATGGTATCAATAACAACAATAATTACAACAGTAACGTTAACAACAATAATATCAGTAACAATAATGCTAATAACACGGGGATGCTGTCAATGATGATTCGGTTTCCTGGATTGGTGGTTGAATATCCAAAATATTTTGGTGCAGGTATGGTTGGAAGTGGAGGATCAAATGGCGGAATTCCTTATTAATGATATTGATATCATTAATAAGTATGAATATCTTACCAAAGAAAAACAATTTTTCATTTTTGATTCTGAATTAAGACGCGTAAATTATGTTTTGTATTCTTTATTCTGTAAAAAATTTATTTTAAAAGGACAATTTCTTGATGATGATATTATTATTATTATTATTATTATTATAATCATCATCATCATTATCATTATCATTATTTTTATTATTATTGTTATCTTTGATTGGTTTTTGTAATCATTATTATTTGTCTTTTTTATTTTTTTAATAAAATCACAAAGTTTTTTTCTTTATATTTTTGTGATTTTATTAATTTTTTCAAATTTATATTTGCTTGGATTTTTTGAAGTTTGATAATAATAATAGTAATAATTCTTTATGTAAAAATTTTTTATTGTTGTTATTATTATAGTTTTGTTCTTGATTTTTTATATATACATAGAAAATAAAATGTATAATTATTTTTAAATGATGTAATTTATCTTGTTTTTATAATGTATATTTTAATTTATTTTTAATTAAAAAACTTTAGTAATTTTTTAATATTTTTATTTATAACTTGATTTTTTTATTTTTTTATTTATATATAATTAAATTTTTTTATAATTATTATCATTTATAATAATAATTATAAAAAAGATTTGATTATATTATATAATATATTATTTAATAAAAGTTAATATATAGTAATAATTAAAAAGAATATAATACTTATCTTTTATTAATAAATTTTTTAGCTTAGAAATTTTCTAATTTAATATATAATTTTCAGATTTTTTTTTAGATAACTTATTTTAATTAAGATTAAATTTTATTAATTATTAATTAATAAATTAATTATCTTTTATTCTTAATTAAAGTAAATTATCTGATAAAAATTCAAAAAATTTAGAAAAAATATATATTAAATTAGAAAATTCTAGTAATTTTTTGAGTTAAAAATAAAAAATATTTATTAATAAAATTAAAAATTTTTATATATAATAAAAATATAATATTTTATTAATTATAATTAATAAAAAATTCAAATATTTTTGTAATATAAACTTTTAGTAGAATATGAATTGTTATTTATTATTAATTATTTCATATTATAATATAATTAAATAATTAATAATTATATTAAATATTAACTTAGAAGATAATTATATAAATATAATAATTATAATAAAGTTAGCAAAACTATTATAGCTAAATTAATAATATTATCATAATAAATTAGTTTTATAATATTAATTAAACTAATATTTAAAATATAATAAAAATAATATAAGTATTATAATTAAAATTTTATTTCTAAAATTTTTAAAATATATAAAATTAATATATTTTAGTTAATAAAAAATTTAGATTATTAAGTAGTTAAAAAGTAAATTATAATAATTTAATTAAAGAATTTTAAAAATCTTTCTTATTAAATAGATTTCTAATTAATAATTTATTATTTATTTTATTAATAAACTATTTATTTAAATTATATTTTAAAATTAAATTATATTTTAACTAGTCACATATTAAATACTATTATTATCTATCTTTAAATAAATCTTTAATAAATCTTAATATAATATTTATATTTTTATTAATAAATTTTAAAAATTCTTCTAATATTATTATTTAATAAAATATATAGTAATCATCAAAAGTAATGCAATGCTTAAATTTTTTACTAATTATAATTAGTAAAATACATAATTTTTCTTATATATAAAAGTTTTTAATTTTACTA